AAACTGTGAGCTGCATTTGGGGCCTTTTGACATGTGTTTTTGAGGACAAAGGAAGAGGTGGGGGAGGTGTAGGTATGCAGGCCTTGAGACTTTTGGTTGTAAGGTGAGCCTGTTTGGTTTCCTGCTGGCCAGCGTTGCGTCTCCCAATGAGAGGACCTGAAAAGATGACCAGCTGACCTAACACCAAACCCCTCCTTCTTACTCTGGTATATATCCGGTGGATCCCTGGCGTTCGGCCTCTTCTTCACATGCTGCCCTCGGGTGAAAGTAGCTCTGCAGTATGCGAACCAGTGCAGGAGTAAGCCGGCATTACTCCTTAAGCATTACAATATAACTGTAATATATCATGTTGTATTGTAATGATTGTATTGCATTGTGATATTGCCATTAAAGTAGATTATTGTTAACGGTTACTTTGTAGATATGGATTCCTTCCTGTATTATAACCAGCTTCATAGGAACGCGCGGAGATTTGAAAAGCGGACCAGTTATCCCTCGAAATCTCCAACAGTGCCAAATGAACGTGCGTTTATCATCAGCATCACTTTTACAGAACATGTCATATGTCATGATGATTGTATCGACCTGATTCATTCCACTGCTTTTCCTTTTGATTTTAGTGGTCAGTAACAACTGTCATGATGCTAAAATAAACTCTTTAGGTGATCTTGTGGTTTTCATTTGTCTGTCAATGGTCCACTTTAGTCATTATGTATCATTCTTCATCAGCAGCATGAACGTTGCTCTGTGACATGTACTATGCCAAGAATCTTACTCAGTATAGCACCTTAGTAATGTTAACCCAACACTAGTCATTATTTATTGATGAACATAACAATTGATTAGTCTTATAACAAAACATCATCATTTATTGCATTTAAAACAATACAAGCAAGATATGAACTGTTTGGGACAGTATACATACAGTAGCCTTCATTTCAACATTGTAAATAGATGGGGTGGATGTGAAACTTTCAATTTCTTTACTGATGCCTTCATTTGTTCTGCAATATAACATTTTCTGTTATTTCAGTATGAATCTATAGACGCCTGATATTTTCTTAGATATAATACAGGCAGACCCTTTTGTCATTTAGAAACAGGAGCTAAACTGATAGAGAATACACTTCTTATAAACTCTCAAAGAGGTTTTTTCCCTAAGGGATCTCTGAATGTGATTTATTCATTATAAACTTCACAGAATGTGGAACATTTTTACCATATACATTTTCAGAGAACCTTTAGAGAGCGCTACCTGAATGTGTGGTAACCTATTTGATAATGTTGTGCTGCAAGAATAATTAGAATGACATTAAGACAAATACAAATATATACAAATTAATATATGAATGAACAGATAAAGTTCGATATCCAGAACTTTAACAAACTCAGCCTTCATCTCTTCAGCAGCTGCAGTGTTATTTCCCGCCACTAGATGCCACTCCGGCTTGCTGCTTGATGACATCACATTTGTCGAATTCAAAAACCCTATGAGCGAGACAATTTCCCGCCGTGTGCGGTGGCGCGCGCCTGTAATCCAAGTTACTGGGAGGCTGAGGCTGGTGAAGCGTTTGAGCTCAGGATACCTGAGCTGCAGTGGACTATGCCGATCGGGTGTCAGCACTAAGTTCGGTATCGATATGGTGCTCCTGGGGGAGCTCGGGACCACCAGGTCGTCTAAGGAGGGGTGCATCGGCCAAGACCGGAGACGGAGCAGGCCAAAGCCCCCGTGCCGCTCAGTAGGATCGCGCCTCTGAATAGACGCTGTAGAGCAGCCTGTGCAATACAGCGGGACCCAGTCTTTTTAACGCAAAAATAAAATACTACAACAACACGACACTCCAACATTATATTTTTCCACCACACAGCAGCTTCATCACTGCCTTTTTAATCTTCTTATTCTCATGAAAAACCCTCAAGAAGCAGCTGAACTGCGTGTCCTACACTGCCTCCACCTGGAGGAAACCTGAAACTACATCAACAACACTAATAGTCTTATAGTAAAACTGTACATTCAAAAATGCTGCAGCAGGACATACTTGTTGGTGGTTTATTATACTGAAATGTGGTACTGTAAACACTATAGTCTATAGTCTTTGTTAGTTAATATGTAAAGTGTTTACACATTTCTCATCTGATTGTCTTCATCTTGTTCTTTATTGGGGCTTCAGTTCTCTGTAATCTGTGTGTACAATGTGCCAACTCAGTGGCTCTATTAGAAAAGGTGCTTTGGTGAAGTGGCTAATGTGATTACAATTGCTCGGGTGAACAAAGTTCATGCAGAGCAGGAAACTAATGAACATATCCCGCTGTTTTAAAAAACGTCATTCCAGTTTTGTATTGCTTTTAGCGTCTGTTAAGCTGCATTAAAATGTGTTTCGAAGCCTCTACGTGTAAATCCCTTCCAACCTATCGACAGCTTTACTATCACTGGTAGCAAGAACTGTAAAAAACAGTGTTCCATAAATGTCTCGTTCGTCACTGCTGTGCTTCTTCTCTGTCTTCGGTTGCATTTACAGAAAGGGGCTCAGGCAGGGCCGCCCCTCCCTACAGGCCAATCACGCAGGCTGCATGGGGCCCCGCCTTGCGCAGGGGGCCCCGCCCAGAGGGCCTCAGCTGCTGTGCGCAGTTCTCGGCTCAGTTCTCCGCACACCCACCGCGAGAGTGAGAGGTGACAAGGGGAGCACGTCTGTAACCCGACACCGTTGCAATGAATCGACATCTGACCAATCACGGCTTTGATACGGCCACTAGTGCAGGTGAAGAGATGTCGGTGAAAAGACAGATTCAGTCCGGCGCAAGCAAGAGGGAAAAAAAACAAAACATGAAGAAACTAGAGCATAACCCAGAAGGTGGGTTATTGTATGTATAAGTCAAATTGCCAAAACATCAGCTGCAATTCAGGACATGAAGAAGGCAGTCTCTGCATAGCATACAGGCTAATGGAGATGCAGTTATTTCCAGCATTCTTTATTTACCATTCATTCAAGTATGTTATGCCTTTTATCTGCTAATGTACAGGAGGAAGAGTGATACACTGTCTGTCTAGTTGGCTTACATAACAGTTAAAGTTTACAGCCTAAAAAACATGGAGCATTTTTTCCCCTTTTATTCATTTTTATGGCAATTTGCACATTTCATGATGATGCTCAGCCTCTCCCCTTAACTACTAACAGTCATCATCATGTCAACCACAACACAGAATTACTGATATAAATGTGTGTGTAGTTGTTGATACATTGCTGACAGAGGGAACTACATTTGAATACAGATTTAAGAAATATCAGTTTTTGAGCATGTCATAAGCATGTTTTGTCTTGACTATATTACAACTATATTATAATAATATAGTATTTATATTATTGAATTGATTATGATTATTAGTAGAAGTAGTTTATTTGCATTAATTATATTGTAATCGTTTTGAGGCTAGTATGTGGCAGGAAATGCAGACATATTCACCTGTAAACGCATACTGAACGACATACATGCACATTTACCATTTACCTCACTGTATGAAAAAGTAACTGTGTTGACAATAATTATAAACAGGAATTATATTGCAAAGTAGCCTACTGCCGGATGAATGGGAGTCGGAGGCGGTGTGTTCAGTATGGAACTCCACACTGTATTATACATTGAATCACAAGACTGGAATACACTTGTTGCTACTGCATGTCATGGTAGCCTGAATTAATCTAACTTCCGGTGTCCCACTCTAACGGGTCCGTGTTGCAACACAAGCCGGAAGGTGAACTATGTCCAATAACGTGTCACCACACTACTTTGTTTCCCTTTTTTTTTTTTTCACTCCTGTCGGTTGGGGGGGGGGGGGGGCCTCATTTCACAATGTCGCTTGGGGCCCCAAGTTGGCCAGGGGCGGCCCTGGGCTCAGGTCACCATTATTCATGTTTAGATTCTTTATTTCTGTCTATCACGTACACAAGAAGCTGCAAGCTCCTGGGTGTTAATAACTGTAGGTGCCAAATGAACGTGCGTTTATCATGAGCATCACTTTTACAGAACATGTCATATGTCATGATGATTGTATCGACCTGATTCATTCCACTGCTTTTCCTTTTGATTTTAGTGGTCAGTAACAACTGTCATGATGCTAAAAATAAACTCTTTAGGTGATCTTGTGGTTTTCATTTGTCTGTCAATGGTCCACTTTAGTCATTATGTATCATTCTTCATCAGCAGCATGAACGTTGCTCTGTGACATGTACTATGCCAAGAATCTTACTCAGTATAGCACCTTAGTAATGTTAACCCAACACTAGTCATTATTTATTGATGAACATAACAATTGATTAGTCTTATAACAAAACATCATCATTTATTGCATTTAAAACAATACAAGCAAGATATGAACTGTTTGGGACAGTACACATACAGTAGCCTTCATTTCAACATTGTAAATAGATGGGGTGGATGTGAAACTTCCGATTTCTTTACTGATGCCTTCATTTGTTCTGCAATATAACATTTTCTGTTATTTCAGTATGAATCTATAGACGCCTGATATTTTCTTAGATATAATACAGGCAGACACTTTTGTCATTTAGAAACAGGAGCTAAACTGATAGAGAATACACTTCTTATAAACTCTCAAAGAGGTTTTTTCCCTAAGGGATCTCTGAATGTGATTTCTTCATTATAAACTTCACAGAATGTGGAACATTTTTACCATATACATTTTCAGAGAACCTTTAGAGAGCGCTACCTGAATGTGTGGTAACCTATTTGATAATGTTGTGCTGCAAGAATAATTAGAATGACATTAAGACAAATACAAATATATACAAATTAATATATGAATGAACAGATAAAGTTCGATATCCAGAACTTTAACAAACTCAGCCTTCATCTCTTCAGCAGCTGCAGTGTTATTTCCCGCCACTAGATGCCACTCCGGCTTGCTGCTTGATGACATCACATTTGTCGAATTCAAAAACCCTATGAGCGAGACTATTTCCCGCTGGGTGCGGTGGCGCGCGCCTGCAATCCAAGTTACTGGGAGGCTGAGGCTGGTGAAGCGTTTGAGCTCAGGAGACCTGAGCTGCAGCGGACTATGCCGATCGGGTGTCCGCACTAAGTTCGGTATCGATATGGTGCTCTTGGGGGAGCTCGGGACCACCAGGTCGTCTAAGGAGGGGTGCATCGGCCAAGGCCGGAGACGGAGCAGGCCAAAGCCCCCGTGCCGCTCAGTAGTAGGATCGCGCCTCTGAATAGACGCTGTAGAGCAGCCTGTGCAATACAGCGGGACCCAGTCTTTTTAACTCACAAATAAAATACGACAACACGACACTCCAACATTATATTTTTCCACCACACAGCAGCTTCATCACTGCCTTTTTTAATCCAAGTTACTGGGAGGCTGAGGCTGGTGAAGCGTTTGAGCTCAGGAGTTACTTTAAGTAATTGGAATGTTTTTTTTCATAAAGTTAATCTTTAAACCAATGAACTGAGTTGGCACCTGGGATGTTGAGGTTAAACTCTTCTGCATTATGTACCTTAATGTTTATATTCCTTAATAATTCGGGCCAACATGTTCTGCTTCACTTAAGACGACTCCTACAGTGCGTTTCACCGCGTTGAGGACGATCCCATCACAAAGTACCTACAACAGCCGCTGTATTTCGAGGTGGAACTGATGGGATCTTACAACCCTAAAGTATATCTTGAGCTGGCGCACTGCTGGGCGACGCTGGAGGAGGACAAGATGTCCCTCCCTCAATGGGACCTCATTGTTAACGGGTAACTTGTATATATATTTTTTTTTCTTGTCCCAATGAACTGTTTGTCAAACTGTACAAAAGGGATGGTTTAAAAATCATAGGGTGCTCATTTTGCAGACTTTAGGACATCTTTACCCAAATAAAATAATTTGTTTTCCCCCATCAGTTGTGCAAACTCAACGGACCCGCACCCAGTGATCTTCCACTCTGTTTTGCCTAAGGGCAGAGATCATTATCCTTCCAGCTTCAAGCGGTTTGAGGTCCCGATGTTTACCTTTGCTGAAGACAAGGATAACTTGAACCGCCAGGTACTATCAGTCATAAGAATAAATGGTCTTGTTTTTTATTTTTTGATGTTCAGATTTTGGAAAACAAAAGTACGCTGTCTATAACAACCCTTAAATCTGTTCATATCTTGTAGGTCTTTGTCCACTGTGAGGTGGTCATCTGTGATGTTAGAAATCCAGTGGATGTGCAGTGTTCAGACCAGGACAAGACGATGAAGGGTATGCTCTCATACATGCTGATTTCATTATCCAGTAATGTACAATAAGGTTTACACGTGTTGGCTCAAATTATAAAATGTGACGATGGCTTTTGAATAAAGTGGCTAAGATATATATATTTATATATATATATTTTTTTTTTCTTCTCCCACAGGTCAAAAACTTGCCGTTTCAGATGACCCTGGTTTCAAAAGCGTGACTTCAGCACCAATCATTATAATGCGCTCCTAAACAAAGTCCTAATAAAATATTTTAAAAATAATTCACACTTATAGTATTTACTTGGGAATATTGGAGATTTTTTTTCATCTATAGTTGTGTTTTCTATGGTTATGGGGAGGTCCAAACTGATTCTCCATTCCAAATCACATATATTTAAATGTAGTATGTACTGCTTTTTTGGATTTCTAGTGAAGAAGAAGTCGTCTTGCCAATAACGAAGTAAATGCCAGAATATCCAATTACCCCGAGTTGTATCTGTTGTAATCTTCTGGGCACCCAAATATGGCAATATGGGGACAGACTTTCACAGTGAGTATTTTTGAGATATCCTCAAAACTTCTGCCAAAAGGAAAACACTAATGGGCAGGAGAAGAACATATGGGATTGCAGTGAGAGGCTTGACATTCGTTACAGATGTCAATAACAGTGGGATATATTTGTGACAATCGTGCCTTTGAGAAATGAACCCTGTACAGCACCTTGAACTGTATGAGAGTGAGACGAGCACAGGATGAATCCGGTTAAGAGCAGTGTCCCACCAGTGATCACCCAAGCTCACACCTAGCGCAGCCTTGATTTTAGTGGTGTGTGTGAGCTGTCATCGGTCAGGAGTTTGTTATATATTTTTGAAATAAGTGACTTTTGAAGGGGATCGGAACAAAGAAACTCATCCCATATTTGATTAGGGGGTAGAGAGGGAAAGGATGGAAACAGGGATTTGGTACAGTGTCTAATTTGGAAATAACGAAAAAGGTGAGATGTTGGGAGTTCAAATTCCCTTGATATATCAGTAAAACTACGAAAGGTATTATCCTTATAAAACTCTCTAAAAGTCCTCAGGCCCTTCTCATGCCTGTCGGAGTTTTGAGGTTTTTACAACCCCACTCGGCTCCGTGTGTCGTTTTGGCGAGTCCTACTTAAAATCGTAACAGGAAGGAAATCAGAGAACACCATGATACCAGTTTAAACAATAATCTGTTTTAATTATAAAAGGTAATAATGCAATGCAATATAATACAATACAATTATACTGTAATGTAAGGAGTAGGCCTACTCTTGCCCTTGTTCGCGTGCTGCGTAGATCCTTCGGTCCTGGCAGCCCGAGAAGAGAGAGCGAACGCCAGGACTCCACAGGAGATATACAAGAAAAGACAGGAGGGGTTAGGTCAGCTGGTCATCTTTTCAGGTCATCTCATTGGGAGATGCAAAATATGCTGTGTCACAGTGAATCAGCGCGGGCCAGCAGAAAACAAAACAGGCTCACTTTGCAACAAAACACATCTTATCATGTATCTTATCACATAAGTCATGTGTTTCTTTATGAAAGCCATACTTGTTGGAAATGTAACAGTCATCATCTCATGATCTCCTCAGGACCAGCTCACCAGCAACGCCTAACTGTCTTCATACTGTTGGAGTTTTGAGGTTTTTATAACCCCACTCGGCTCCGCGTGTCGTTTTGACGAGTCCTGCTTAAAATCATAACAGGAAGGAAATCAGACAGAGAACACCCAGATACCAGTTTAAACAATCTGTTTTAATTATCAAAGGTAATAATGCAATGCACTATAATACATTACAATACCATATAATACAATATACTAAAATCATATTGTAATGTTTTAAGAAGTAGCCGGCCACTTCTGCCCTGGTTCGCGTGCTGCGGAGATCCTTCCGGTCCTGACAGCATGTGAAGAGAGGCCGAACTCAGGAATCAACAGAATATATACCAGAAGACAGAAGGAAGGGGTGAGGTCAGCTGGTCATCTTTTCAGGTCCCCTCATTGGCAGACGCAAAATATGCTTTGTCACAGTGACCCAGCGCTGGCCAGCAGAAAACCAAACAGGCCCATTTTACAACAAAACACATCTTATCACCCAAGTCATGTGTTTCTTTATGAAAGCCATACTTGTTGGGAATATAACAGTCATTATCCCATGACATCCTCAGCCCTAGCTCACCAACAAGCCTAACTGTCTTCATACCCCCCCCAATCATCTCTGAACTTTTATTCACCCGAAGTAAGCTCACCCTTAGTCTAAAAGGACCATTGTCTCTCTTAACTGTGTGACTAAATTCTCAAGGCCTGCAGGATGCGCATAATTAACTTAGAACGAATTTAGCCACTATATCTAATGGTTAACCAAGAAAAAGACTATTGCGCTAATCTACTTTAAAGAAAAAGGGAACATTGTTTCAGGAATCTATAAAAAACCTCTCTATATTTAAGAGGAAAAATGTATTTTGTTCCTTCAACTATTAATACACAGGAATGTATATACCCACACATATATTTAGGGATAACATGATGCAATACACCTCTTATATATTGGTGAGATTAAAATGAATATACCAAAAATATGCTGCATCACACCTTATGCATAATTCTCTTCATAAACTTCCGCAATTCCCCCTTTTTATCTCTTTCTCCAGAGATAAACTTTAAACAAGGCATTTTGAAACATATACCCACTGTCATTCTTTTCTACTGTGTCCGTCCCCCAAACATTGTATAAATCCATCCGAAGCTGGTATTTAGAGTACTTGAAACCTTCATGGAGACAGAACACCACTTTCCATGGCAGTGAAGGAACCATGAGGGGGCAGCTGGGTGCTAGTGCAGTCTCCTTGTGTGGTGAATCATCAGCCCCCCCCCCTCAGAGGAATACGCCAACAAGGGGCAGCTGATAGGGAGGGGGAGACGCGGCTAGCCCTTCACGGGTGGAACTGATCAGAGAAGTAGACTCCTCTGCTGCCTCGACAAGTCCCCTGTGCCGTCCTGGCTTGCCGTGTCTTTGTCCCCCTGATCCGCTGACAGCAGCTTCTGGGCTGCCTGCTAGAGAGATGTCTTCCTCCTCCTCCTCCTCCTCCGGCCCGCCGATGGCGGCTTCCGGGTCGATGCTGGAGAGATGTCTTCCCGATTCTCCTTCTCCGGCCCGCTGATGATGCCTCCCGGGTCGACTGCCTTGACGAGGGCCAGGTCTGTCCTGATGTCGTCTAGGGTCCTCGCAGGTGTTTTCCCGACCGCACACTGGCTCCAGTGGTACCAGTTGTCCCCCTTTCCTTCTAGGCGGACGGCATGGGATGTCCTCTGGGTCACTCGGTCGGGGCCGGAGAGCCTGGGGTTGAGCCACTTTGTCCTGATGACTTTCAGCCAGACGAACACCGCTGTGTCGGCCTCGTGCTTCTCGGGTCCCCCTTTTGGCGCCAGCAACCTGTGTGGAGAAATCTGATACAACTCCCTCAAGCCTACGCTCAGCTGTTTTGACCCACTTGGAGCCTGTTGGTGGGGTGTCTTGAAACAACAGCCGTCTGTGAACCGGTTTTCTAAATTAATTGTAGACCTCCTATCTGCCAGTACAGCTTCAGAATCTTAGTACTTGGATTGTGCCAACTAAATAAGAACCCCAACATCTTTAGGTAAACTAAATAACATATTTCAATAGCTCTGAATTTCTGACAAGCATCTGTGTTTATTTTTAAATGAAATCCTTGAGATCCTATTTAAAATCCAAATATAATATGAACTGCTAATGTTTCTGGTAAAGAAACACACTAATGTTATGGATTCAAAAACAACCAAAATCATGATACTAACAAAGTGAATGATTTCCTGGTGATACTGCTTCTACCTGTCAGTGCTTAGATATTATCACGCTGAAAAAATGAATACAGAATTCCAACAAACTGTCATCAAATGTCTTATAAATTTAGATGAAATGTATATCCTCATAATGACCTAAACAATAAAGTCTATGGCTTTTACTTCTTTACCAGGCTAGTTACATGATGTTGTCTAAATTAAATTCTGTCATTACATTACTATGTTTTAGCTTTAACTGTAATATGTTCTTTCTACATTTCAAACCTCAGTTACTTTTATACCTGTTGAAACATTACTCACAGGTCAACTTCTTCAGTATTCCATTCTGGAATTACATCTCTCACAGTAGCCCCTTGGCCACTGATTCTGCATCTGTGTTACCTGTTATAACTCAACCAATATTAGAAACATGTCAACATTCATCAAACAGTATCTTATCCCCAGATATGGAGCAGGTCAATTCTAAAACCGTCAATCAATGGTCAGATTGAACAATCGAGTTGGGGCACTCCCCCTTTTTACACATGACTCATGTGTAACCAAAATCCTGTATTGGAAGAAAACCTTCAGGTAATAATGGATTATAAGAAAATATCAAACATTTTTTCCCAAATGTACATCCATAATTTCCACAGTAAACACTCCAGTGAAATGAAGTGTTTCTCTCCATTCTTCAGTCCTAAAAGAAACAGAATCTTCATGTTTTAGTTTGAGTTCCTCATTCTGCAAACTGCCACCTCCTGTGGGAGTGCACAAGTGCGGTTTTCCAATTCTGTGGAATGTTATTGAGGCCCAGAAAAATGTGTTAGTCCAAAAACATGCTTGATTAGTCATTGTTTTAAATCATGCAGTTGCACTGATCACATGCAGACATACACTCACATTCACACTCACACTGTCAGGTTGTAAAGTCAAGTTTGGTCAGGTCCACCCCAGAGTCAGTCATTCACAGTGCCTTGTCAAGTTACACTGTCGGTCAGGGTCAAAGGTCAGTTGGTCTCAGTCTTTTTTGGCCATGTGTCGTGCTCTGCAGAGACTTTGACATTTCAGCATAGGCCAGTATCCTTTGTCTACACAAATATGTATATATGGAGCGCCATCATTTATTAATTCACAATTACAACTATAATGTTCAAGATATCTCTAACTTTTCATTGAGACAGCTGCTTCCCACATTTCCCCGAAAAGTGTTTAGCCAAAAAATGTCACTTCCTTATTGTACTACTACTGCAGTTTATCAACACCTAATCTATATTCAAATGTCTAATAGATCTATTTCAGAAACTTGTGCACATAATTATCATCTTGAGTCAAACCATTACTAGGATCTGTAAAGCTCTGCTATGTATTTCATAACTCATATTCATTTATCTTCAAATCTGGTCCACTTAAAAACAATGTTAA